TATTCTTCAATCATGCAGAAAAATCTTCGCCTTGATATATCTGTACTTGAAAAAGTCTTTGCCATTGTAACTAGAGTTAAATATGCCAGTACTCTTAAATCTCACGCCTGGAGATTACTTTGTTCTCGTGGTTTTGTGAATGCATTAGCTGAAGAAGCAGGACTATGTCTTTCATAAAGCATGCTATATACCAAAAATGCTTCACAGAGGTAAGTAAGCAACTCATCTGTGAAGTCAGAAAAAAGGACAAAGACAGAAAAAGAAAAAAAAAAAGCAGGGCAGGCAACGGGGTGTATGATTTTAAATGACATTTAACAGTAGAGAACTAATAAATTGGACAAACATAGGAAAAATGGTGCAGAATGCTCCAGAAGAGAGAAAGAAGAATCTAACCTAAAACTCTCCTCCAGCTAACAACCCATCTCCCAGAGTTACTGTTTTTATGGTGCTATGCCTGAAAATCTTGTCAGTCCTAGAACAATATTCCAGAACTTCTGAATATGAGAACAAAGGCCTTGAGCCCGAGAGAACCAAGATTTTACCTTCCCACTTCAGGACCAGGACAATGGGCCTCATCTGTCATACCAGAAAAGACAGAATAACATATTCTCCAGTCTGCGAAGCACAGGAGGCTTCAAGTACCCCGCAGGACAGTGTCTGCGTCTTTTTCATGTGCAAAATGCACCATGAGTATCAATATAAATCACGGTGTAGTAACATTCTTTTATAAGCAGTAATGGCTATTAAAATCAGTAGCTAAGCAGATACTGATCTTCATGCAAGAGACAAAAAAACAAGAGAGAAACCAAAGAAATTGATTACTAAGTAAAAGCTTACATCAGTTGCTCACACGCAGACTCAGCTGTTCCTGCTGCTGAATTCAGCTCCTGAATCCCCAAATTAAAGGTATTGGTCAAAAAGATCTCTGGCTTGAGCTACCTTAGAAGAAATCTTATATATTTTACAAAATATCAAAATATTAATTGATAAAAATTATAATATCTGGTATCTAATACTGCACAGTAGGTACCAATCCACTATCTCTGGGCTACTGATGTGCAGGACCATAACTTTACAGCTCAGAAGGACAGAAGGATCTGTTGTCAGCTAAAGTTCTGTAATAAAGATATCAAGCCCCTGAATCTCTCTTGGGCCCTGAGACATACTGGCTTAAATTGTTTGGAAATTATTGATAAAATAATCAGATATTTATGTACTGACAGGAGTTATGCAAGCATACAAATAGCGTGACTCGTTAACTATTATTAATACATGTTATTATCTTCAATTCACAATTTCCTGTTGTTTAAATAACCGTTGATCTAAAGAAGTCTTGAGGGGGGTAAAGCAGACATCTGTTTTGTTTGTTGTTGGCATTTTAACCAAGACCTGGCTTTACACTGTCAATAATGGAATTGTATTTACCAAGAGTGTAACAGCTGACTACCTGGCAGCACACAAACGTGCACTTCTTGTTGACAAAGCCTTCTCACAACATACCAAAGCTGTGTCACTTTCAGGTTATGAAGGCCCAGGAAGATTAACATTACTCTAAAACCAAGCAAATGTTTAGTTTCCTTGGTTATCTCTTTTCAAAGCAACTCAGAAACTTAATGCCTCTTGTACAACCAGTTCACACCACAGCAGTAAGAAGAGTTGCCACCTCTATGTAGGTAAGACCATTTTGAACCTCCACACTCATTACAAATAGGCATGTGCCTTCTTTCAAATTAAGATTTAGGGACAGTAATTCTGTCCCTTAGTCTGTAAATAGTATATAGAGCTCAACACTGATCAAGAAGAAGAGTCAGCTGCATCCACAAATGGACTTTTGAGGAAAAAAATCAGAACGTTAAATCTTTCTGTCAGAACAGAGCTGTAAACTCCAAAGCTGTGTAAGGACAGATTAACGGCTAAGAACTCTCCTGTCCACATTCTTTTTAGTCTTTATTCGGGATCAGCATTAAGTCAGCCACACCAGAATTTTGAGAGTAATCAGTTTCTTTTCCTTCTGCAAATTTGCTTTTGCTAATATTCAGTAAAATACAAAGAGATAAAGGGGAAAAATTGTGAACTAGCAAAATTGTCACATATAAATTTGAATCTACACAACCTGGAAGGAAAGATACTTTTAATGAAGGAATGCATAAAGACTGCTGAGACCCCTCATTAAACTTGATCGTGAAGATGCAGTCACAGCTCCTATCAGCAAGCTAGCACTATCTGTCATCGCTGTCTCCAGTTCAGTACTACATAAATAAGGTTTGCTGGTTGAAGCGTTCAAGCTACCATATCAAATCCTGCTCCCTGAACTCACTTTGGGACTCTCACTGGTTTCAACTCATTTCTTACAGAACATGAGCACAAAAGCATCAAATGCTCTTTAGCCTTGCTCGCATGAGGGTATGAATTGGAAGCAACTCCTCGTGTTGTGCATTGGCAGATCTGTGTTAATGATGATGACCTGGAAGTGAAACTGTCCTCAAAAATATTTAATATGCTTCTTTCTGCCCTTGGCACATTAAAAAAATCCCACCAAACCCAAAACCAGTCCTCCATATTCCAGTCTTCTCCCAGAACCAAGAAGCACCTGCAGATACCACAGAAAAGAAATAATTTTAATTGTTGCTGTAATTGCATCTTAATTTACTGTCCTAGTTTCTATCACCTAGAAACCTGTTTTTTCCTCTCTTCCCCATGTCTCATAGCAAAAGCAGCTCTTCACAGTATCTGCCAATCCTTCAGCAGAAATAAAAATCTTCCATTAAAATAGTATGTAATTTATGACGTCTCCTTCCTACACCAAGATCAAACTGCAAAGAGCACTTGATCACACAGGAGGGAAAAAAAAATCATGCTGTGACCTCAGCGGTATGCTTGCTTCTATAGCTATTTGCAACTTTTCTCCAAATTGCACTGCTTCACCCACAATGCTCTTCTAAACAGCGAATAATAAAGACCACATTAACACATAAGCAAGCATGAATAACAAGTTTTTTATTGAATGAGCAATGCTGATGACGTTCAACCTTAACTGCCAATTTTAGAGTTGAAACTTAAGAGGCCCTTTACACATTCTTTCTTGAATGAGATGTATTATGCACACAACAATACACAAATGATCTATAGAGATGTTGATTGTGTTTTGAAAGAAAATTTTCAGTTGCAGGAAAGTAAACAAATTTTCCTATTCCTTGTCAGGGCTGCAGCAGTACGTCTAATCGACACTTTAGCAGTATTTATGCAAACGGCACCACAGCTGCTAATGTACTCGTGAAAGGTAAGGGCAGTGCCTTATTAGAAGAGAGGTGTGTCCTCTTCCACGCTGGTGAAGGAGCTGTCACGACCAACACGGCCAGCCCAGGGGACTGCCAGCCACAGCTTGCCTGCCGTTCGCTTTGTTCAGAATACAGGCTGCAGGAGCGAGCAAAGCTGGCAGTAACACTGGCAGGCAGACAGCATTACTCTGCAGTAACCCGAACACTGGAAAGAGGACGGAGCATCCTCCTTCGTTCCTGCCACCTGCTCACATTAAAGGCTGTCTCCTTCGGCTCGCCATGCAGCCACACAGAGAGGTGCCCTTGAGCTCTCAGGGGCCGTGTTACAGCATCTCACAGAATGGCAGGGGTTGGAAGGGACCTCTGTGGGTCATCTGGTCCAACCCTCGTGCCGAACCAGGGTCACCTACAGCAGGCTGCACAGGACTTTGTCCAGGCAGGTCTAGAATATCTCCAGAGAAGGAGACTCCACAACCTCCCTGGGCAGCCTGTTCCAGTGCTCCGTCACCCTCAGAGGGAAGAAGTTCTTCCTCATGTTCAGACGGAACTTCCTGTGCCTCAGTTTGTGCCCATTGCCCCTTGTCCTGTCACTGGGCACCACTGAAAAGAGCTTGGCCCCATCCTCCTGACACCCACCCTGCAGATATTTATAAGCATTTATTAGGTCCCCTCACAGCTTTCTCTTCTTCAGGCTGAACAAGCCCAGCTCCCTCAACCTCTCCTCGTAGGGGAGATGCTCCAGTCCCCTC